ACTGCTATTTCACTGCAGAAATAATTAGATGGACCTTTCTTGACTTCTAGACTACAGAGTAAAATACTTCTTCCAGGTAATAGTGCCCTTTGTGCTGTTTTTAAGAGTCAGTGACTGATGCTTCCTCTTGCAAAGGCACACTTCCCTCTGTGATTAAATATTTACCACAGTGAGAGACCAGCAGCAGGACCATGTGTCTCCAATTAACTATGGTGGAGGTTCATGAGGGACTACAGTACATGCATAAATATTTTAAAAGATCAGGTTAGAGCAATGTCCATATCAGGCCGTCTTCCTGTAGATCAGGGTGTGCTGTTTGTTGGTAGGCAGATGCGTGCCTGCTTACCAACAAAAAACCCCCTCTACTTTACTTGCTGGGCCTTTGCTATAGATCACTTGTTAAATTATCACATTAATCATGCACATGAAGAGCTCTGCTTTGCCTGGTGATTACTAAGGGCAAGCAAAACATAATTAAAGGTGCTACAATCTATTTTGTTTGTCCAGGGTATTGTTATTGTTTCCAGGGTTCGCCCACAGGAAGGAAATTCACATTTAATGCTCTTGACTGAGAGGTGTCTACATTTATGGATATCTTAGCCACAGGGGAGTCATCTGTGTCTGCTTTCATCGAAAAACAAAGGACAGGGCATCTTGACCCAGGTCTGCTATCAAGGGCATTTGGAGGGAGTGGAAGGGAGTTAATAACGCTCTCCTAGGCTGGCTGCTGACCCAGGGCATAAGATCATGCTCCAAGAGGAAGGTTGGCCAGTCCTTGGCTTATATCTTAAGGAAAGGATCATGTTATATCTTAAGGATGGTCGTCGACAGGACTTTGGAGTTAAAGGCCACTTGCAGTTTTTTCACTTCTCTGTGAAGAACAGCTCTAATTTGGGGTCCATCTACAGCTGGATTCCAAAACCTAGAGTTATGGAATTCCTCTGGTCTGCCGGTACCCTCAGTAGAATCCCTAAAGACCCTAGAGCTTGCAGTCTTCTGTCTGCAAGTTCTCATCCTGGCTACATCTTGTTTGTTGTATTAGAAAGAGCTGAGGGGGAAATAACCCTCAATAACCTGAAGCTGTGACTCTGTTGCTACAGATTTGGAGAATCAGAATAATAATTTGCTTTATACTGAGCTGTGGTGATATAAACAAATACAGTTCTGGATGTGATCAGGAAACTAAGTGATCAACAGTTTATCAAGTATATATCTGAAATTAAAGTAGGAAACAAAGCAATTTTTATGCAACCCTCTGCGATTTGAGAACACACCTTTATAAGGTGTTACAAAAGCCTACAGCAGTTTAAGGTGTGTGCATGAAACAGATTAATTGCTCCTAAGACTGGGACAATGACAAAAGTACATTTCAGGCAAAGGATATACATTGCTGAGTTTGAATACATTTCCTTTCCTCACAGCCCTGTTTTCAGTTTCTCCATCCTACTTTATACAGGTATGAGTTTATCTCAAGCCTAGGCTCTGTATTCAGGATCACCTCAGGCAGACTTGTGTTTTGGGATGCATCGTAATGCATTTGGGTGCAGCACAGTTTCTCCTCAGCCACGAAGAAGCCTGAATTCACTTCCCTTCAAGCCCTACATGGGAACTGCGTTATTTTGTGAAAGGTTCGTGGTGGAGCACTCCACTCCCTGGGGCAGCAAATCCCAGGAGAAGCAGAGCTAAACTTCAGCAAGGCTTTGTTAGCCATTAGATGTGTTAATGGCCAGCACTGGGAAGTAACAGGGGCAACTGCTGGGGTTTTCTGGGACTCCTTGCCAGACAGGCCACAAAAAGGCTTTTTATGCTCACAGGATCTTTCAGTATGAGCCTTTCTTGCAGTCAGGTGTTGAAAGATGCTTCACACAATTGGTTATTTCTGTGGGCAGCAGGCCCTTTGTTTCAGCAGTTTTTTCTGCAGGAGTTGAGTAGGAACATGGTGCTGGAGCTTTTGGGGAGCATCTTTTGTAAACTGCTCTCCTTGGGGCTGAGGAACAGCACTCCTGTCTGACCTCTGCTTGAAGGACTCCCAGGGTCTCAGCAATGCAACTATTGTTGACAAAACATCCAGAACCTTTAAGAAGGTTCATGAAGCAGGGCAGGTAAGCAGTATAGGGCTTTTCTTTTGCTCAAAGAAAACACAAACTGCAGTGTAACTTCTCCAAAGAAAGGTAGCACTGTATCTTCACATAGACTTGTGCAGCCTTGGCCAAGCAACCTCCACCTGCTATGCTGGTATTACCTGAGAAGGCTAATAGCTCCTGCCTGTGTTATATGGAAGAGATGAGATTTTTTTTTTTTTTTTTTAGAATGGAAAACATTCTCACTTTTGGCAGAAAACTGTGAGATTTTTTACCCTATAAAACAGGTTGCAACAATGTCCATGGCAGGTAAACAGCCTTCTTTCTCATGTTTAACAGATGTACCTCTTGCCTCAAAGTTCAGACTTGTACACATTTTAGTCAGTGGACACCAGTCAGAACATACCGTCTTCATAGGCAGTGCACTGAAAGACAGACTTCAATTTTAGATCATATAAAAGAAGATGGGACAAGCATTAGGTTGTTATTTCCTTGGATATGTAGAGATATGTTTCAAGTGTACTGATCTTGTAGTTGGGATGATGTTTGTTTTCAGTAATTCTGACTGAGTGGGGGACAAATGAAAAATACATTTCAGGCAGCATCTTATTTTACAAACTTAAAAACTACATACCTACATGAAACACCCTAGGAGGTTAATTTCTAGTGAAATGAATAACTACCAACACACATCAAACAGGCCATTAAGCCACCTGTGACTGGCTTGGCTGAGAAAAAGAAAAGCTCTCCTGTGAATTATGATTATAACAATATCAGAATAATAGTTACCTTTTCTCCTCAACAACATGTACACAGCAGTGTGAAAAACCCACTTCTTAATATGTCTGTCATAATTTAGCATTTCAGCCCTATCAAATACTCAGGACAGTATATGGCTGCTACAAAAATGAACATGTTCATGGCCATTTAAAACTGATCCTTTTTTTATTTCTATTTACTGAGTATTGTAATATTCACTACAATGTTCCTGTATTAAACAAAAAGGATTGAAATTCTACCTTCCCCCTTCCCTCCTGCTTGGCCCTTTTTTTTTTTTTTTCCACAGAAATAATGTTGGGAATTTTTCCAAATATGCCTACATGGGTTAAAAGTCTCCAGTTAACATACCCTGTTTTTAGCTGTAATTATTCCTATCTGTAGCATGTGCCACAAATATATTCCTTAAATAAAAATCAGAAAGTAGAAGGAGCTGCAAAACAATGTATGATGTCCTTTAAAAATTCAGAAGAGTGAGCACAGTATTTGGCCATAAGAAAGGGATGATCCAGAGTTCTTCATTTTTGTGAGTTTGCAGAGAAGAATAAAAGGAAATGCTTGCACTTGCAAGCATTTAGAGGATACAGAAGTCAAATCCTCCAGCAAATGAGATACTCTGACAGAAAAACAGAGAATTCCCTTAGGTCTTACCTGGATCTTTCATCTGGAGATGTCAAAGTATTTCTTAAGGCTTTAAGAAGTGCTTTCATACTGACATCTGGGACAGTTACTCCTTAAAATTACTTCTAGAAATATTTTGGCACAAAGCATCACAGAAGTTAGGTCTTATAAGTCTGGAGGTGATGGTGTTGTTTTAATTAGAGGAATGATAACACTGCATAAAAAAAGCCAATTGTCTGAAAAGTAAAATTGTATATGACTGAAACTACTCACAAACTTCGGATAAATTCAGGAAATTCTTTTTATACAAAGCTTTGATAATGATACACAGGGGACAGTATAGCTGAGGAAGCACATGTAGAAAATAACTGTTTATTATTCAGTTGAACAGCTTGAAAATGTGGAACAAGTTCAGACAATGAAGATCTACTTCCTAGCAGAAAGGGGAACATGGATAAAATGGCTGCATGACTCAAGTAAAAATAAAGGCAAAGCAGAAAGCTGAGTGCATATTTAGCAACTCTACTTCAAACCCAAGTACCTAAAGCTGACAACTCAGAAGAAGATGAGTTTATATGCCATGGTATAAAATACTGTGAGATGTGCAAGATGTTTTTGTGACTAATGAAGAGAATTTAAGAACCATTCAAATGCTTTACCTCAAAGGGACTTAAAACTGTATGGCTGTCTGGTTCAATTGTTGTGCAAGATGGGATTGGGTTAAAGAAATTATGCATGCAAAAAAAAGACATAATATGCCTTGAATTTTATTTTTATGTGTCAGAGTTACAAATGAGTTTCAGAGTAACCACTTATCATGTAATTCGTAAGAGGAGTTAGGAGAAGTACAGTGACTGCTGTGGAAACACAATTGCAGCAGACTTCCTCTTGGGATTACTTTTGAAGTTTTAACTGGTAAACATAGATATATTTCAATAGGGTTTTTTGTTTGTTTGTTTTGTTTGTTTGTTTGTTTTACTCTTTATTCTTGAACTGACAGGTTAAGAGGAGGTATTCTAGTAATCTACCCTGATTTACAGGCAAGACTAAGAGCAAATGTCAGTACTTTAACTGGACATGATAGAAACATAAGAGGTTGTACTGGATTTAGAGTAGGTTTGGGGACAAGAATGAAAGATGTAGCACTATGAAAAGAAAACAGTGGTGTTACATAAGATTTCTTATTTTCGTATTCTGAATGTTTATTAGGTGTGCTTTCAGAGTTTGTGTGAGAATTCCCAACAGGCAGAAGAGCAGGTGCCTCCACTGTGGTTTGAAGAGAAGCAGTGGCACTGAACTGACAGGTAAGAAACACAAAGGACAGTGGGAACAAACTGAAATGAAAAAGTTCATACTGCCCATGAGGGTAGCCAAGGAGGGTCATGGACTTATTCTGCAGTCTTGCAGCAGGGTGTAGGGCTGGGTGTCCTCCTTCCCACCTGATTTATATTGGGATAACAAACGTGGATATCACAGGTTCATAGATGTTGCTAAAAAAACCACAACAACAAAATGTAAAACAAACAAACAAAACCCAACTTAAAAAAAACAAACAAACAAAAATACAAGAAGTCTTTTGTTTAATACCGCAGTGCTCTGTAGAAAACTAGAAAGATGTTGGTGTGGAAGGTACAGACAAATATCTGTACAACAGCTGTTATACATCATATATGAGAGATAACCAAAAGAAGTTAAATTGCTCTCTCAGCAAGACATCAGTGAAAACAGAAGAGATATGGATGAAAAACAGGCTCTGAACTTGCATTGATTAGAACTTCACAAGTTTAGTCAGAATGAACTAATGTTAAAAAGTCACCTTGGTCAAGTGAAATGATTAAGTGGAAACATTTTTAAAGGGAGCAAAATGCTTGCTAAAGGGATATGACAGTCTGACAGAAAATAAGCATCTGGTAGCCAAATGAAGTGAGAGCAGCTACACAGAAAAAAAAAAAAAAAGGAATATTTTAGTTTGGTTTCAATACAAGAGATTAATCACAGGGTTCAGGTTGGTCTTGTGGCAACTTGTTCTAAAACTGTATTACAAAAGGTGCTTAAGCACTCTATAATTTGAGCCCTGTTGCTCTTACAAGAACACTAGAGGAAGGGAACTTAATGTTTTAAAAACTCTTTGGGAACTCTAGTATTTCATTGTTTTATTATGACAAACACAGTTTTCATAAAATGGAAATTTTCCCTAAATGAATTAGAAAATGATATGTGAGGTTTTCTCACCTGATCAAACTCAAGAGGCATCTTTAAGTCAGATGAGTAAAGAACATTCATTACACCTGTTGTCAGAATAGGATCCCATCCACCAAGGAGAGCATGGACCTGGCGATATAGACTATGATTCACAGAGTTCTCCAGTCCTGTTGGAGAAAATGGATCTGTGCTGAACATACCCTCATCCCTCCCAAAAGTTCTTGTCCTGTTGAGTGAAATGAGAGAAGTTTGCAAATGACAAAATATTTTGACTCGCTTGGCAATGTCAAACTTCATTTTGACATTTCTGAGGCACTTCTATGAAACTGAATCCTTTTGTGAATCATTTGAAAATGTGGATTTTTCATTTTAATTCTGCATGCAAACAAACAGTGAAATACTGGAATTATCCATGAGGTGAAAACTGATTTTGGCCAGTTCTATTTGGTAATCAGTTTAGTCACTGAATGGATTTTAATGATTTACAAACTTCTCAAGATCTGCCAGATATTTTTTCCTTTCTCAAGAAATGGTGAAATGACCTTGAGCATGGTAAAATGGACGAATTTCTCTAACCTTAGACTGACTTGCAATGACCCTGTCTAACTTTGGTACTTTTTTGCTTTCTTTCCCCTTTGTTAGCATATTATATCTTGCTTAGTGGGAGCTGTGAAGCACAGTTGTTCATAAAATGTAGTTTTTAGACCACAAATTATTAGATACATAACACTAAGAGTAAGGTTTGCATATAGTCTGCCTTATCTGCTGCTAAGCAAGTGCATTTAGATACTTACCCAGAGCCCAATATAAAATTTATCAACTCGTCACTTTTCTTGGTTTCAGCCCCTTTCCTAGAGTGATTTCTTCCCTTGCTGTCAGATCAGACCTCCTCTAGGGGTAAGGAAGGAATCCTGGATGAAATTATCATATTTAATGCGCATTTTGCCCTCTTCTTATCAACATCTCAGGAAGTGCACTTGCTGAAACATTTCCTGGGTTGTCAGGAATGCATCTCCTTACACATCTGGCCTGCAGTTTCTATGATCTTCACTGGGCATGAAGCCAGTGTGTGCCCAGGCTAAGTTTCCTCAGCATAAATAACATCATATATTGGTCTTTCTTGAAAGTTCACATCAAGGTCGAAAGCCTTGCCAGTTGGTATACAATGTCAGTGAACTCTGAAAATTGAAGCTGAGGATCTTGCTGTGAATGATGACAAGCCTAGACATGATCAATAGCCATGTTCCAAGATGTCTGTGCACAGCTGGTGGTAAACTAAAGGCACACTTTATTTCCTCATATATCTGTTTAATTTTAAACCATGATGTGCATACATGTACAGATCAGATTTTGAATTTCATGCTGCAAGTAGTGATCACAGATGATCACCTGAGTGGATCTCAGAAAAAGAATAGGGAATAGGAAAGCACTTGATTACTTAGCCTAGATCTTCTCTAGCACAACAAAGGTCAGCAGAAAATTCACATCTGTTTTCTATAGGCTGCTCTGGATTTTGCTTCTATTGTTGAATAGCAGAAACATTCATTTAAAACTGATCTAACACTGTGCAAGTATAAAAGTACAAGATCAGAATGAGAGTCAGGGGAAAGCTTCAATAAACATTTTTATCTTTGTAGAATGGTTTCTCACATTTTTAACCTGTTCTAGAAATGTAAATGTAAATTTAATGGGAAAAAAGACCATATGGCAGAAGGAGATTGAAAAGAGGTCCTGGCAGAAAACACAAAAAATTTTGTGGATCTTTTCACAGAATTGTGAAAAAAATGAAACAATCTCTTCTCTTTTTGCAGAACAGCTCTAAGATTACGATGTGCTATGGCTGTCTCGATGACACCGTGATCAAAGTAATGACTTAAAACTCAGTGAGATGTGTTGGGTTTTGGTTTTTGGTTTGTTTTTTTCTCAGGGTAGCTATTAATGGAAGAAGTCCCAAAGACAAGTGCTTGTTGACCAAAGGCAGGCTAGTTCGCAAAGATCAATGGTCCGACAGCCCTCATCTATCATCTCGGACACGTGTGCATGGTAATCAATGGTCATCCATCTCTTTCCTGTAAGTCGATTAATCTTTTAAATTTTGTAGGCTTTCTACCCTGGTGTAGAGCTTTTTATAATAACCTGCACAAGCCTTTCTTTTCAAATAAAATTAAAAAAAAAAAGATGAAACTATCTAAACTGTGTATGATGTAGTTCTTCAAAGCTTAAAGGGAATAACTCTTTGAGGTGTGAAGTTAGCTCATGGCCATTTCTTGCTCATGTTTGGAGGCCACACAGTTTTATGCCTTTACCTGTAATCATTTTAAGCTCAGTTAAATAACAGAATTTTAGAACTGAGTTTATGGTTTATGAAAATGAACAAATTAATCTTGTAGAATAGCATAAAGAGCCAGTATTGTCAGATGGGATTGGTGCAGTCTTGAACTTGCAGTAAGATCTGTATCTTACAGAGGAAGAAATATTATCTGTAATCTGTCTGAAATAGGAGAAGGAATTATGTTAAATGCATGTACCTCTGAACATTTAACTTGGGAATAGAACTTACCATCCTCCTGGTAATGTTAGATCTCTATCTTGATCAGATGAACCTAATCAAATATCCTTCAAGACATACCTTCAGCTAGATGGAATAAATGACCACCTGACAGTTTATAAGATATCTTGACAAGAAAAGAACGAGTTGTCCTTGGAATATCCCCCAGCATGCAAAATACTTAGAGAAAGGTAGTATCTTGCTGATAATACAACCTATTCAATCTTAATTGAAAGACTTCTCAGCTGGAAAAAAGTAGAATATACTTAGTTAAATTATTATCTTGCATAAGGCAAACAATTCCCCCTACTTTTATTTGTTTTGTTTTTGTAAGAAAAAGAATTTAATCAAAACCTGTAGTATCAGCAGAAGACTCTAAAATTAGATAAAAATTAACCTTCTTTATTATTAGTCTCATTTTCAC